GGGGGGTGGGTGGGAGAAAGCTTGTGGTTCTCCCTCTCCAATAAAGGCTAAGTTGAGAGCTTCGACTTCAACTCTTCTCAGTCCAAAACAAAGCACCCCAACCAGCCCAGCCTCCACTTGAAGCAGTGTCAAAGAAGGCTGGGTAAGGAACCAGAACTTTTATATAACAACAGTCTTCTCCTTATGGTGCAGATCACTTAGAGGGCCACAATTCCATTCTTGGCCCTCCTTCTAACAATGAAGTGGTCAGAGTTGGACTGGTGGAAAGTCATGCCTTGATGTCATCATCACCCAGACTTCCTTCCACAGTCTCACTGGAGGCCACATGTAGAGAAATAAAGAGGTATACTTATCTCTCCAGCCTTCAAGCTATGAATGAAAGCCTAGTAGGTGTAGACCAGTGAGGCAGAGAACATGGTTCTGAGCTAATGCTCTTGGGCTTTATCTGGTGCACAGGTGGGCAGCAGTGGAGGGGGGGTGGGGAGGGGCCTTAGCTGCTCCCACTGCTTGGGCAGAAGGAACAGAAGGTGGGGTTGGTCAGGCTCTGTTCTCTCCTTACTTGTTTCATCTCACTCTGCTCCTGCCTCCCTCTCAGCTGCCACCACTGTCACTGTTTGGCTTCAGCCTCTGCTAACAGCAGTGATGGGTCAGCAGCAGTGGTGACCAAGGACAACCGATATCAGAGTCCCAGATAATTTTAGTATGGTATTCACACAGCATTCAAAGCATAGAACATCCTGTTTCACAGAAATATCATGGATGTTGAGCAATGCATACCTGAAAAATATTTCATCAGTAATGATAAGTTTTGCATCCTACACACTAAAGAAATTAAGAATTCTACCAACTTCTTCAGTCTAAAATTGATCAAGCATGAAATCAAGAAATATTAATAATTACTAATGAATTGGAATGAAATAGCTGGACAAAAAAGAAGGAAAATGGGAAAAAATATGGCCCTGGCAATAGAAACAATGATGAAGATTGCATGATAAAATTCCACAAAACCAAGTCTTCTTCATTGAAAATATTTTCTGGTGACATTAGATGGATCTTGCTGAAAGCAGAGAATACTAGAATTTACTTGTGCTTTACTGATTTATGCACAGGTGTTCAACTATGTGGGTCATAAACTGTGTGAAACACTGAGAAGCATGGGGATTCTGGAACCCGTCCTTGTACTCGTGGGGTACCCATATGGACCAAGAGGCAGTCATTCAACAGAACAAAGGAATATTACAGGGTTCCAAAGCAGGAAAGATGTGTGTCAGGCTTGTATCCTTTCACCACACTTATTCAATCTGAATGCTGAGAAAATAATCAGTATGGATTACGACTAAATAGAACGAAAATCAAAATTGTCCCAATGGACCAGTAGACAACATCATGATAAGCAGAAACAACATTGAGGTTGTCAGCTATTTCATTTAACTTGGATCCACAATCAGTGCTCATGAAAGTAGCAGTCAAGAAATCAAGCAATGTATTTATTGCCTTGGGCAAATCTGCTACAGAAGACCTCTTTAAAGTGTTCAGGAGCAAAACTGTCACTGTGTGGACTAAGGTGCACTTGACAAAAGCCAGTGGTATTTTCAATCTCCTCATCTGCATGTAGAAGTTGGACAAAAAATACGGAAAACCAAAGAAATTGATGCATTTGAATTATGATGAGAAAAATTGCTGAAAGTGCTATGGATTGCCAGAACACGCGAAAGGATGATGACGCTTCATCTCAAGTACATTAGGCAAGTCATCAGGAGAGACTGGTGCCTGGGAAAGGGCTTTGTGTTTCATTCAGTAGAGTCAGTGAGAAACAGGACCGCCGTCAATGAGATGGATTGACACAGTGGCTGCAACAAAGGGCGCCACCACAGCAATGGTGAGGATGGTGCAGGATCGGCAGAACCAATTGAAGGACACCCAACCACAAAGTCTTCTTCATTGAAAATATTTATAGGAAAACAACTAGTCTATTTATGTACTATAAACAACTTTCAGGAAAACATGGCGACAGTGTACATAACTATAAATGTGACTGAAAAACAAACAAGCAAACACAAGAACATGCAAGATTTACATTTCTATATTTTAAAATACTAAACTTGAGAATAAGGCTAGACCAAGTTAAAGTACCTCTAAATTTAAGTGCTCCAGGTGGTATAGTGGGTTGTACCGTAGGAAACAAAGGTAAACAACGCAGTTTGAAATTACCAGCAGCTCTTCCAGGGGAAAGATAAAGCGTTCCACTCCTGTGAAGATTTATAGTCTCAGAAGCCCACAGGGCCGTGTCCAACCTATCTTACAGAGTCATTATAAGTAAGGATTGCCTGAATGGCAGTGAGTTTGGTTTTGGAAGGAAAGAGCATTATAAATAAAGTAAATGTTTTCTGAAAATTATTATTCTACACATATTTTAACTCAGTCCTTTAAAATATTTCCTGTTACTAGGCTTTTAAATGTTACAGGTATTTTCATGTCAAACTTAGTGCCGTGCTCCCACACACTGATTGGGTAAAGCAAATAAATAAATAAATCCACTGCCACTGAGCTGGTTCTGACTCAGAGTGACTCCAAAGGCAGAATAGAATAGCTCTGTAGGGTTTCTGAGACTGAACATCTCTGTGGAAGCAGACAGCCTTATTTTTCGCCAATACAGTCGCTGTGGGGTTTAACCACCGACTTTGCAGTTAGCAGCTCGGTGCTTAATCAATTATGACACAAGGACACCTTAATAATTGAGAGGAACCTCTGCTCACCACAGCAGAAGTTGTCGTCACAGAAATTCCTAAAGAAGAGAAGGACCCTGGCATGGGTGGGATGGGTGGAATGGGCGGGGCCATGGGAGGCATGGGAGGTGGCATGTTCTAATTGTTACACTAGTGCTTTGCCATTTTGAACTGTGACAAGGAAGCTCCAGGCAGTGTTCCTCACCCAAACCTTCAGAGAAGTCAGTTCAGGAGAAGAAAATGAAGAAAAGGCTGGCTGTTGTTTTGAGAAAATCCCTATTACCATCAGTTACTGGTTTCAGTTGACAATGTAGAGTGGTTTACTGCTGTCATGTCCATGCCTATAGATAATTTATTTTGTACTTTTGAATGAAAAGACATTTGTACATTCCTGATACTGGGTGTAAGAGCCATTACCAATGTACTGCTTTCAACTGAAATCACTGAGGCATTTTTACTAATATTCTGTTAAAATCAGGATTTTAGTGCTTGCCATCATTAGATGAGAAGTTAAGCAGCCTTTCTGTGGAAGAATAATTGTGTACAAAGTAGAGAAATACTCAATTATGTGACAACTTTTCTGTAATAAAACCTTGTTTAAAGTCAAAAAAAAAAAATTGAGAGGAACTTTGCAAACAAGGTACTTGTAGCACACCAAGGGGATTGGATAGTTTGCTGCAAATGCAAGTAAGGTGTGTGAACACCTAACAAAGGGATTAGTCAGTACTGTCATCCTGCTAGCCTTAAAGGGAGACCCAGAGAGAGAGCAGGAGCTGTAACATGTAAGAGAGCAAGAGTTAGCAATGCAGCAGTAGCTAACTGCACAAAACAAGAATCAGGAGACCAGTGTGAGATGCTACATTGGAGATTGCTGGTCCACAGAGATAAGAGTTGTAACACTTGCCCAAGGAGGCCACCAGAAAGGCCTAGTGGCAACAAGGCTTGGATTGGCAGCCAAGGTGACAAGATGTTCCTGATTCCAAATTGTATGTGTTACTTCCCAAATGAAACACTTAACTGTAAGTATGTCTCATGAATTCAGAAAGACATGGGAGTGAGTCCCCAGACCCAAAGATAAGCGGGACAGCTCTGAGGGGTGGGAGTGGGAGTAACTGATGTGAGAGATGTTGGTATGGGACAACAGTGTGGAAGAGTTGATCATTTGAGATATCTTTAATATCTGCCCCATAAGGCCAACTTTGTGCTGATCCTTACAAAAGAAATAATTCATATAGTTATTAGTAAGTGGATACTTTATTTTAACTTGCAAAAATAATCAACCATACAACTCTTCTTGACATGACTGAATAACTGAATTGTATGATATGTGGATTATGTGCCAATAAAAGCGTTTAAATAAATAACCAACTTGTCTAGTTAGAGCTATTCTGAAATGAGAACTAGGCTTTAAATGTATAATACCAATTTATAAGAAAAGGACTCACTACTCCAGGTTTTGGAGAGTAAAATAAGGTGATCACAAAATATTTGGAAGCGAAATTTGGCACACTCTTATAGCTGGACTTATTAATGAAAATTCTTTTATGTATTAGCAAGTGTCATGGATTGAATGGTATCCTCAAAACATATGTGTCAACTTGGGTGGTCCATGATCTCTAGTTTGACAGTTACATAATGATTCCCCTTGATATGATCTGATGTAATAAATCAACCAATATTAAGAGGATTAAGGATGGGATGTAATACCTTTAATCTTGTCACAGCCTTATCCAATGTAAGGAGAATTCCTCACTATGTGGCCGGCAACACCTTCTATATTGTAAGAGCTTAAAGGAGCACAAACATAGCAGAGAGAAAGGAACTTACTATCAATGAGAGGGGAGCCAAGAGTGGGACACATCCTCTGGACTCAGGCTCCTGCACTGGGTAGATGCAGATCTACCCAGAGCCACCAGATCCCGGTGGAAATTTGATGTCGAGACACATGGAGATCTCAAAGGAATTATGGGTCTACAGGTGCTGAAAGAAGACAAGAACTTTCCTCCTAAATTGTGAGCCAAACACAAACAGAAAGCCTTTCTTTTGGAGTTGGCATTGTGAATTTGGACTTCTAGCCTCCTGATCTGAGAAAGAATACATTTTGGCTTTGCTAAAAGCATCCACTTGCAGTGTTTCTGTTATAGCAGAACTAAATAACTAAGACACCAAAACTAGTTGGAAAGTGATAATTCTGTGTTATTTGTCGCTATGGTGTTTGTCCATCAGAGGGATTGCTGACCTTGGATTCATTGGACCAACCTCATATTCACTTACCTCTGCATCCACCAGCCTGTGACCCCCCTGCTTCATCCTCTCGCTTCCTATTTGCCAGGGTCCATACTTACACAAGTCAGAGAAACCTTCAGCTACATCTTACTAACAGGCTTGAACCATACTGAATACACCTACTTCTACAACTGTGTAAGCCATTTCTTGGTATAAAGCTACACACAAACACAAGCATCATTGGTTTTGCTTCTCTAAAGAACCCAAACTAACATAGTGTCTAATCTTAAAACTTAGAACACTAAAGTCTAAAGGTGTAATGCAGTCTCTCAACCATGGCACTACTGTCAGTTTGGTTGGATAATTATTTGTTCTCTGTATATTACAAATTATTTAATGGGATCCCTGTGCATAAAATGCTTGCATGGACATGACAACCCAAACTGACTTCAACGATCAGCAAATGTTCCCCGGAGAAGCACAAGCACCCCTAATTAAGCACCACTGTAATGTAATGCACTGTATCTCATTTGAAGTGATCTCAGAAATACTGTGCATTCCTTTCCTTTGGGCTACCTGAAAATGATAAAGCCCACATGTATACATTAAAGAGAACTTGGGGGCAAGAAAAAGAAGCAAGAGAAAAAGGCAGAATCTTTGGAACCCTTGACAGATATTTGAGAAAAATATTTATCAGTTCAGAATTTCAGACAATGTGAAAGCAACAGTACTGTTTCTGACTCAAAATGTAGTCATATTCCACCTCAAAGAAACCACTGTGACTGCTTGAAAAAAATAATTGAGAAACACGTCATGTGAAGGATCAATATTTAACCCCCTCCCGGGGAGGCAAACAACAGAAAAGTGGGTAAAGGGTGACTGAGGACAATGTAAGATATGAAAGTAATAATCTATAACTTATCATGGGTTCATGAGGGAGGAGGGGTGGGGGAGGGAGGGGGAAAAAAGGAGGAGCTGATATCAAGGGCTCAGGTAGAAAGAAAATGCTTTGAAAATGATGATGCAGCATATGTACAAATGTGCCTGACACAATGGCTGAATGAGTGGCTTGTGATAAGAGATGTAAGAGTCCCAATAAAAGTATTTAATAGAAAATGTGATGCAAAAATATTCATTTAAAAACAAAATGGATACAAATGCAATCTTACTTTTTTCAGTACTAGCCCCTGGCACTTTTTGTTCCCATTCTTTACATGGTGTTTTTCCTTTACACGATCCCATCACTGAGGAAGACGCAAGCTCCATCGCGTTGTAGGAATCATACAAATCCCAAGTAGTGGACATTATACCTAAATCAAGAGATGGAAAGTAAAAGTGACTTCGAACCAAATTTGGATTTTTTAACTTATACAAAGTAAAATAAGCATTGCTACAAAAGCCTAGAATCCTTTCTTACATGAAAGCATCCAAACATAAAGTCATTTTTCCTTCACATACCCTCCCCATCTAGGCCCACATACTCCTGCAGGCAGTGTCTCCATTTCTCCAGCGTTTCCTGAATAATTGCACACTCTTCAGCTTACACCATGTCAAAACGGCAGTTTGAGCATTGTTAAGGGACTCAGACCTTGCTCCTGTTAGATGTTTTTTGATATACAGCAACAACAACAACAACAAAAACTAAAAATCACGGCAAGATCAGGGCTGTATGGTTGAAGGAGTAAGGTTTCCCAGTGATACTTTCACAGGGCAGACCTTGCTACTCTTAAAACATGAGCAGGTATACTGTCATGATGGAAAAACAAGTCCTGGACACAACTCTCCTGGCCTTCTTTTCATCAAAGCAATTTTCAATTTTCTTAAAACTCCTTCACAATGAACCCTTGCAATCAATCTGTGTCCTTTGAGAAAACTATCTATATTAACACCACAGAATCTCCAAAACAGTCACCATACATAATCTTCTGAGCTGTATCCCTGTCTTGGATGTAGCTGATCCAACAGATCCCCAGAAGCCACTGTTTGGATTGGACTTTTTCTTTTTAAAGATGCCCTAATGAATTAAAAAAGCCCTGGTGGTATATAGTAGGTTACACATTGGGCTGCTACCCGCAAGGTCAGCAGTTTAAAGCCACCAGGTACTCCGTGGGAGCAAGACAAGGCTAGGTCACTGAGAGTTGGAATCAACTTGATAATAGTGAGTGAATGAGTAAGTGAATGAGACTGTCAGTATTCCTGAGAAAACTGTTCTTCATCCATCCACCGATCACAGAGGCATGTTTAAACCCATTTTGTTTGGAACAAACCCATTGCTGTATGAATTGGAACCACAGTCGTGGTACTTTTTTTTTTTTTTTTTAATTTGCCGTCATTCTCCCATGGAGCAGTTAGCAGATTTGAACCAATGACCTTTGGTTAGCAGTCTACTGCTTACCTATACTATGAGAAGGGTAAAACATCTAAAACATTAACGAGTTGCATCAAGAGCTGCATAGGGTTTTCAATTGCTAATTTTTTTTTTTTTTTGGTCAGAAGCAGATAGCCAGGCCTTTCGTCCTAGATACCTTTAGGCAGTCTAGAAACTCCAGCATTTTGGTTAGCAGCCAAACATATGAACCATTTGCACCATCCAGGGATTCTTTAGTAAAAACATATTGTTGCCTTACAACAATAATGGGAAGGAAATCATGAAGACACCTTAAGAGATCCTTAGTCAACACATTGTCCGCATCCACAAACACCTTTGTATCTCAGGGATACTTCCAAATTGTGCTTATCCTTTCATCAATTTCCTCCCTCATATTTCAATGCAAGTGTAGAATAATCTCAGTGGACTCTCATTATAGGGGTGCCTTGATGTTAAGAACCTGAACAACAAGGTTTCTATGTGTTTAATTTTGTTGTTGAGTCTCTGGGTAGTAGAACAGTTAAGTGCTATGCTAATAACTGAAAAGTAGGCCGTGGTAAGAAGGCCTTGGGTACCTGAAAGAGCACCACCATTGCACACCCTGAGTTTCTACTCTGAAACTTAAGGGATCTCCATAAGTTAGAACTGACTTGACAGCAACTGGTATAGATTTTTACTTATGATTCCCATGTAACATACACTATTCTATAGATTTTTTATTTGGAACTATCTGATTCCATTTTTATCAAATGAAATTTCTGATTCTGACCTGCGATGTAAAAAGACTGAATTTGTTGGGGAAATGGCAGGGTGCAGTCTAGAAAGTTGTGGAGCAGTACAGGTATCACTTTCCCTTTTCTAACGCAAGCCATATGTGCATGTGTGGCTTGAGAAATTTTGTTCCTTGGTTAGTTAACCTTACTCAAGTGAGCAAATGTAACATTGGTCTCCAAATTAATATTGGCAATGCTATTTATCTTCAAATATACTTTTTAATTTCCACCATTTTTCCTGGCTAATATGCGATGCTTATGTAGAAATTATTTTATCATTGAATATGTAACAATATATCTCCTCCTATATTTACTAAGCTTTCAGTTAAAGAAAAGTGATTTCATAAAGAAGTCTTTTCCCTGAAAATTGAAACAGAATCTGGTTCTAATAAATGCAGGTACCTCATTGCTAGAGATATTTTTTTCTAATGTAAAATGAGATCATTAAAGGGCTCTGGCATCTAAAGGCAATTTAATGGGTAAAAATGTTAACTTGCATTCTATAATGTTTCCATTATAATGAACTTAACTTTGTAGCATTTAACAAAACATGCACAGAAAAACACCTAATACATTTTGCTAGATTCTAGAGGCAAAATATTGAATAATACAGGAAGCATCAAGAGAAGAAAGAAAAAATACAGCATCACTGTACCAAAAAGAATTACTTGACAGTCCACCATTTCAGGAGGAAGCATATGAGCAAGAACCAATGTTGCTAAAGGAAGAAGTTTAAACTAAACCGAATGAATTAGCCAAAAGCAAGGCACCATGGATTGGTGGAATACCCACTGAAACATTTCAGCAAGCTGAAGAAGCACTGGAAGCATTCATTCATCTATGCCAGGAAATTTGGAAAACCTGTTACTTGGTCCACTGTCTAGAAGAGATCCATATTTGTGCCCATGACAAAGACAGGTGACCCAACAGAATGTTAAAAACTGTAGAGAGATAGCATTGATATCACACACAAGTGAAATTTTACTTAAGATCATCCAACAGTGGTTGCAGCAATACAATAGCAGGAAAGCCAGAAGTTCTGGCCAGATTCTGAAGAGGACATGGAACAAAGGATATCATTGCTGATGTCAGATGGATCTTGGCTCTAAGCAGAGAATACCAGAAAGATGTTTACTTGTGTTTCATTGACACTCAAGGAAACTTGTGTTTCAAAGGCTCTCAATTGTGTGGACCATAATAAATTGTGGATAACCTTGAGAAGAATGGGAATCCCAGAACATTTCATTGTTCTCATTCAGAACTTGTATATGAATCCAAAGGCAGTTGTGTGAACAGAGCAAGCATGGTTTAAAATCAGCAAAAGTGTGCATCAGGGTTGTATCCTCCCACCAAACTTTTCAATCTGTATGCTGAGCAAACCATGAGAGAAGCTAAAGTTTTGAAGTTGGCATCAGGATTGGAGGAAGGCTTATTAACAACCTGCTATATGCAGAAAGCACAATCTTGCTCGCTGACAGTAAGGAGGCATTGACCAGGTAGTATGGCAGGGACCAGATCAAATGCAGGGATGCACATGGTAGACAACTGGGGAGGAGGTGGGGAAAGGGAACAAAAAAA